AAGGTATGAGTTTTCACATCACATGTGAGAATTACTTCAACTATAATGATTAGACTTTACCCCTCCCAAGAAACACCAATTTGATGTTTCTAGAAACGGCCTGTCGCACATGCATTTTCAAGGTATGCCTATTTCAATTATAAATAGCCTCAAATAACAATTGTATGTTAATTTATATTAATCAAACCAAAACATTTCAGGTATAAAGAGTAATGATACCAAACACCTGGATTAGGTGATTGAGAGGGTGAAGGTGGGATTTGATGATCCCCAGGTTCACCAATCAAGCCAACTGGTGCTTTCTAGTAAGAGCATTATGCTAACAAAACTCATCAATGCTTCAAAAACTGGTGCTTTATACATCCATAGTACAAAATCATGTATTTCTATGTCAATACCAATAAAAACTAGAAGTACGGACAGGCCCAATGCAGATTTCTGATTTCCATTAGCAGATCAATTTGGATTTGATATACAAGAAATCAGATTGGCGCCCCACAACACCATCCACCTGTGTATTGCGAACATCTCAAGTATGGGAGTTGTTCCCAATGCATGCTGAGATGTGCATGTGGGGTGCCAATCTGATCTCAGACTAGAACTAGATGACTTAAACCTTCCTACTATTGAGAGAGTCTGGATCTCCTGCTCACAATAATTCTATTCACGTTTACCTACATATTATCGCAGCCACACATAGAGAACATCTCGTCCTCCTACATATTATTATGCATGAGGTAATGTCTTGTGATTAAACGTGGGCAGAATTATTGTGGGCATGAGATCGGGAGTCCTATTTTGATTGAATTGGTGTGTATCCATCAAAAATCAAAATTTAAACAGCGCCTCTTAAAAGCTAGGTGGTTAGAGGTGACTTTGAGTAAGGCTATATGCAGCTGGCCTAACTTGAGCCCAACCCGAACTTTTGCATGAATTAGGCTCAGCCTGAAAGCTCGGGCTCAACCATAACTCATGTTGGACTTGGGTAACTGGAGCTCAGATCGGGTCTGATCCAATCCTACCCAATCAAACCCAACTCAAATCTGACCCACCTTCTATGACTTGCACCGGAACCAAAACAAATATTTGTTTTCAGCTAAAAAAACCCATTTAAAGTCTAAATGAAAGGTAGAGGTGCTAAAATGTGAACGAGAAAGCTTTTAACCCCGACAAATTCATCCAAGCCCAGCCAATCTCACCCCACCTGTATAAGTCCGAACCCGACTTGAACTATGTTGGATTTAATTTGGGCTGGGCTTTGCCAGATCCAACTGGCCTGATTCTCTTGTAACGTGAACTATGTAATTCCTAAAAATGGTTGAGACCCGTTGAAAAGTAATTAAATTCTCAACTTAACCCGACCCAAGTTGCACCCAAAGTTCAACTATTTAGAGTTGGGGTAGGGTTTACTGCATCCCAACCCAATCCAACCTGAGTTGCAAGATTACCACAGATAATGCATACATGCATGACAGTCTGTCACTCGATTCTGTGACACTTGGGTCATTTGCTAAAACCTAACCTATATGGCTTGCGTATCACTAACACCCCCATATAATTTGTAATTGCTTTATTTACGCGGGCCTTGGCAGAATTTTTGAGAAATTCGACAAAAACCTTATTTTCGTTTATGGGTGTTAACGGTATTCGAAAATTCGATTTTCGAATTTGATATTTGATATAATCGAATCGAATTCGGATAATTCGAATATTTAAACGGTCGAATTCGGATATCCTATTTTTACTGAATAGTTAATCGGATTCGAATTCGGATATGACCTGATTTGATTCGATAAATATCTGAATTCGATTGATTATTTAATTCTTATATAATATATAATATTTTATATAATTTATATATAATAATTAAGTTACATAAATATAATTTATATATTTATATACTTTATATCAATAAAATATTTATTTTATATATTTGTTAATTATATAAAATAATTAATTAATCGAATTCAAATCAAATCGAATATTTGAATATTTGAATATTTAATCGGATTCGAATTCGGATATTAATTTTCAATATCCGTCGGATATCGAATCGAATTCAGATATCGGATTTTCTAATCAAATTCGAATTCGGATATTGCTTGATTCAATTCGTTACCTTCTCAAATGGAAAATATTAGATTGATGCACCATTATACCTTGTATAAATTATTTTATGTACAAAAGCCTTCCATTCTATCCTTTTTTAAATCATTTTGCATACAAAATTACTGAAATAACTTTGTTTTAACTCAAGAAAAATGTTAGCAGATGACTGTCAAAGTAGATTATTGTCAAATTAAAATAAGGTTATTTTAGTAATTTTGTATGTAAAATAAATTATAAAAGGGTAGAATGGGCATTTGAAAAAAATTAGTGCATCAGTCTAACATTTTTCGTATGAAAAGGTGATGGAAGTGAGGTTTTTGTCCAGTTCCTCAAAAGTTCAGGGGAGTTATTTATTAAAATGAAATTATAGGGGAGGTTTGTATGATTGTCAGAAACTTCATGGGAGGTTTTTGTATTTTATCCTTTAGATTATGGTCACTAAACCTATTCATGGGCCAGATAGCCTAACGTGTTTTCTTGTGGGCTTGGGCTTAAGTATATTTGGAGGCCCATGAACTTAGGTTTGGGTTTTAAGTATTAGGCTTGATTATTTTTGGATTAGGGCCAGGCTTTTTGAGATGGTGTTTGGTTCTATGGCCATTAGGTGTGCTCACGGTTCAGTTAACTGAACCATGGGCTCATTTTTTAAACCGAATCAGGGTTACCGGTTTTTAACTAAAACCGAACTGAAGCTGATTGGTTAACCGGTTTGGTTAACCATCGGTTCAATTCATCGGTTTTTATTGTTTACAATGTATATTATAAAAGATATATAAATATATAATAAAACACTAGAAATATATATAAAATATTGTATATTAAATAATAAATAATATATTATAAATATATATAATACATATTTATTAATTTATAATGGATAGAAAATATAAAATATATAATATACATAAATATACATAAAATATATATAAATATATGTATACCGGTCTATTTAATTAACCATCGGTTTTCTATTTTAGTTAACTAAAACCGAAGTAGTGTCTTCGGCCGATCAATAAGATTAACCAAAACTTTAGTTCAGTTTCAGTCGATTTGATTTTTCGATTTTTCTTACTCACCCCTAATGCCCATTTATTTGAAAATTGGTGCCAGTTCATGGGTCGAGCTCAAACCCAACTCGAACATATTATAATTAATGAAAACATATATTAGTAACAGGTAATTAGGTATTAGGTAATAACCTGTAGTACTATTTTAGTAATTTACTAAGCTACCAACCATCCAGCCCTAACCTTTTCCATTTTTCCCTTCCCATTCCCCATCTTTTGAACTTAGGTGTATATTTGTATCTTGGAAATTAATATTTTTGGCATGCAAAACATGTGATTGGATAGAAAGTTTAAAAATATAGAATTAGATCTAATATAGAACTAAGGTGTTGCATAACTTATATCGGCCTTTGGGCTTTATATTATGGATGGGTTTAAGTTTAAAAATAGACTGGACAATTGGATTGCGCTTGGGCATGGGCTTAGACATTCTCTGTTAATAGAGGGTAAAATCTGGCTTGACCTAGGCCTGTGATTCAATCTAACTGGTTGTATCCTGTACGACCTTTTAAAATGAGTAGAAAATGTAAAAGGGCACTAGTCTAGGGTTTTTTTATTCCGAAAATACTCTGCATCATATTTTGTTTTTATTTTATTTTGATTAATTTGATTGAATAGACATTAGAGTAAAAAATGTCATTTCCTACTTTCATCTAAGAAAAAGTGTGATTAGTAAAGTGTTTTTGCCTCCCACTTGTGGGTCAATGGGGTATTTTATGTTTAATTTATACTTTCAGTTTTTAATTTCTTTTATAAATAAGATAAAATTTTGGATTTGAGGCCAAAAGGGGCAAGGCTTTTGGCCGGCTTCGGATTGGCTGCCCACAGAGGAGACTGGATCTGCTCCTAACAGAGTGCATCTCACATTGACCTTTTCAGGCACATTTTATGGTGCAGTGAAAACATCTCACATGATTAATAATATATAAGTATGGGAGATGTTCCCGATACATGAAGAGCAGATCCAATCTCCCCACAGAATGCACCCCACAGCCTATCCCCTTTCGTGCACCGGGGAACATCTCCTGTGCTTGTCATAAATAGATACTCCCAATGCACAGATGAGATGGCCTGTGGGGTGCGTTCCATAGGCAGTTAATCTCATGTCCTTTTCGCCTTAGAACATATAAATCTTGAAAAATTGTCCAAAATAAAAAAAAAATCACCCAATCAAACAATTAAGCACAAAAGTTACGGCCTTCATAAGTTTTGAATACATTATGTGTTGTAACCTGCCACTCAGTAATCAGGTCAAGTAGGTTAATGGACAGTTGAATGGTTTTTTGTCAATTTCCAGGTCTTAGGAAAAACTAGAGCCAAAAAATGGGACAGGACGGTTCAAATAGTTTGACCATAACGATGAGTTAAAAACCTTATTGCTAGACTTATTCATGGATCAGGTAGCCCGATTAGTTCATTCTTTTTGAGGTTTAGACAAAATTTTAGGTCTATGGGCTCTAGCTCAGGCTCAACTTTAAACATTGGGCTTGATTATTATTTAAGCCGGGCTCAGACTTTCTCAAATAAAATTGACTTGGGCCAAATCCGACCAGAATTTATTACAAATAATAATATATATATATATAATATAATATATATTATACACTATCTTATTAAATTATTATCAAATTAATATAATATTAATTTATTAATTATATTATAATTAGGAATTGAATTTTTATGTCCAATTAGGCTTCGGGCTTGGGCTTTATGTAAGGGCTGAGCTCGGGCTCAGGCCAGGTTCAGGCTCAGGCTTGGGCTGGATATTTTTTATTAATAAAGAGGCAAAAGCCATAGGGTGTCTTGCAAAGGTTGCCTTTGGTAAATACACAAACCATAGGGCGTTTCAGTGAAAATGGCCCTTGATTCTTTCCGAGCGAAGTAAGAACTAAGAACAGCCGCCCCACGGCAGTCTCCTCGTTCGGAAGAAGATAGAGCTTGGGGAAGGCGAGTACCACTACCTGACTACCTCAATGAGTTATCGTCGTCAGTTCATTTTCGTTATGCACAGTAACGGAGCCAATGGGACATGGTGTTCATCGTTTTAGGCCAATGGCGCATCACACCCGCAGCCGACTTCCGGCACTTACATTTCACAGGTTCTCTGATAAGATTCAGGCAGAAGGCAGTTTTCCGGCAAATCATCTCTCTTCTACAACTCAAGTAAGCAAATTTTCCGGTATCGCCGAAAAATATCCTCTAGTTCTACTCACAGAAAAACCATTTTCAAGAGTAGGATTAACAGACAATTTTGAACAGGCGTGTAGAGATCGTGAAACCCTTTTGTCTCTTTTTCGGGATCCAAAAATAGCACTTAGTTTTTATGATTCTATTGATCATCAAAAACCCATTTTCATTACAGCTACTATTGTACATATACTTGTCCTTTCGGGGATTTATCGGCCTGCAATGTCGATTTCCAATAGGTTTTTGGGTAAGTATTCCGGAGATATTTGTTGGGTTTTCTTCGAATTCGTGAAGGAATTTTTGGATTGGGATTCTAGGAACAAGGTGTGTGGCATTCTATTAGAATGTTTGATTCGTCAAAGGAAAATTGCCGAAGTGGTTCAGATCTTTCCACTGATGAGGGAGCACAGTATTGTGCCGACGGTGTTTTCAATTAATGTGGTTTTGAAGGAATTGCTCCGTTCGGGTTTGATGACGGACTTTTGGTGGGTTATTGAAGAGATGAAGCAATTGGGTGTTGCTGAAGATGTTTATACTTGTGGTATTGTGGTCGCTGCATACTGTGAAGCAGGTTTGTATGATAAGGCATTGGATTTTGTAGGGAAGATGTGGAATTCTGGACATAATCCAAATTCTGTTGTTTACAATAGATTGATTGATGGGCTTTGTAAAATTGGAGAGATTGAAAGAGCCAAGATATTGTTCACGGAGATGGACAAGAAAGGTGTCTCACCTGATTCATGTACTTATAATATTTTGATTAGTTGGTATTGTGCAGAGGGTTTGATAGAAGAAGCGCTACTGTTGTTTGATAAGATGGCACAAGTGGGCATCCATCGGGATCAGATTACCTATTCTTCCTTGATTAGCGGGCTTTGTAAGAAATCAATGTTCCAGAGAGCAGATGAAATATTAGAAGCAATGAAAATAGATGGTTTGGTCCCTGATGTAGTCTTGTATAATCTTCTTATCGGGGTCCATTGTAGAATTGGAAATTGGGTCAGAGCATTAAAACTGGAAGTGGAGATGATTAGCTTTGGAATTAGACCTGATACTGCTACTTATTCATACCTTGTCGATGGTCTTAGCAGTGGAGTTGAAGTGTCAAAACTGGGAGAGCTTTTGGAGGAATTCCAATTAAGTGATGGTAGTTTGGATACTGTTGTGTCTGATGCCTTGCTAACTATTGTTTGGAATAAGGGGAAAATTAAAGAAATGTTTTACCTCTGTTATAAAATGGACGAAAAAGGGCTTTACCCTGGTGAAATAATGAGGGCCAAGATTTTAGTTGGTCTTTTAAAGCAACAAATGGTGGCAGAAGCTCATCAGTTCTTTGCAAAAATGTTTAGGAAAGGTCTTATCATGGATTCATTTAGATCGCCAAGTTCTAATCTAAACCAAGACTCTCAAGGTATATATGCTTCTCTTATTTCCAAGGATAACTATGCATGTAATATTGTTATTGAAGGAATGTGCAGCCAGGGATTGGTAAAGGAAGCTGTAAACATTCTGAAGCAGATAGAACTTGGTGGAACTTTCATTGACAAAGCAATTTACTATACAGTTATGGATGGCTTGTGCAAACAAGGGGATACTAAAAGGGCAGAACTACTTTCTCAGAAGATGTCTGACAGTGGAATTAAGCTAGATGCATATGGTTACAACATATTGATTAATGGTTATTGCAAGAAAAAATTGACGGATGCTGCTTTTCTGGTTCTTGATGAAATGTTGCTTAAGAACATTACTCCAGACTTGGTCACTTACAACACTTTGATGAGTGGTTTCTGTAGAAATCATCAAGTTGGGAAATTGAGGGAAGTATTTGCCCATATGATCAGAAGGGCAGTGGGCCCTGACCAGATTTCTTATAATATTATTGTAGATGGTTACTGTAGAGAGGGTGATATGAACCGAGCTTCTAAACTGATAGAGGAGATGGAGCTGGTTGGTTTTTCACCTAGTGCACTGACCTATGGCTCTTTGGTTTATGGATTTTGCAAGGGTGGAGATCTTGACAAAGCCAAAGAAATATTTAAGCAGTTGATTGAGAAGGAAATACCACATGATGCCTGCATCATGTATAACATTCTGATGGATGGATATTGCAAGAAACGGTCCATTGATGAGGCCATTTTACTCTTTGAGGAGATGTCTGAAAGGAATGTTAACCCTGACTTGGTGACATATAACATTCTCTTAAATGGACTTTGTCACAATTCAAGGACAGATAAGGCTTTGCACATGCTTTCTGTAATGATGGAAAGGGGTATCACCCCAGATTCAATTTCTTACACTGCGCTGTTAAATGGCTACTGTAGAGATGGAAAACTGGAGGAGGCATTAAAACTGAAGGAGGAGATGAAAAGATCAAGTCTGACTTTTGATGATGTTGTGTATTCATCCTTGATCAAGGCACTTTGCAAGGAGCGGCATATATCAGAGGCTGAAACTATTTTCTTTGAAATGAAGGACCGGGGGTTTTCTCCTAATTTTTTTACATACAAAATGCTTATTAGTGGGTGCTGCCATGAAGAGCGGATCCATGATGCTTTGACATTCTGCGAGCAACTGGTTGCGGATGGCTTGAATATTGATGCTGACACTTGTATTGAGATTCTAACTAGACTTCATAGTAGAAATATGCTCCAAGAAAGTAAAAAATTTATGACAATGCTCTGGAAGGGAAACTCTTCCAATTTAAGCACATTTAACGTTGTTGTCAGTAAGTTCTGCAAGAAGGGGAGGATTGACTGTGCCCTTTGGGTTCTGGACCAAATGATTAACCTGGGATTGGAACTGGACTCTCATTCATCCAGTTTCCTGATTTGTGGACTATGCAATCAAGGAAATGTAGTAAAGGCAGAGATAATTTTCAAGGAAATATTGGACAAGGGAGTGCTTCCTTCTACTTGTGCTTACAAAATTCTAATTGATGAGCTATGCAGGAATGGTCTGGTAAAGAATGCATTTGAACTTCGTCGTAGATGTGTTCAGAGGGGATTTCTGCCTGAGAAAGGCTCTTATAGCTTGATTGTTCAAGCAGTCCAGATGCTTCAGAGGAGTCATTTGGGAAATAAACCAATTCATGATGTTCAAATGTTGGAAGATGTTGAAGTGTCTGGTTAATTTTGTGGCAGAGTATTTATCTCATTAAGATTCATTTGGGAAATAAGAGTCTTCCTGATGTGGTCTTTCAGCTGGTGCAAGCAATTGTGGTCAAAACCCATAGCAGGGGTCTTCCTGCCACGGAGTTTGTATTGCCCACGAAAGGTGTGTTGCCTGTTCACTTTGTACTTATTACCTTTCACCATGAAGTTTATCCATAATTTAAACTGCTACATTGTGATAAATTTTGTTTTTTTTTTTTTTTGTTTTTTTTGTTTTTTTCGCGAAGACTGCTAGTTGTTTTTGTGCTAGACAAACCATCTCCAAGAGGCATGATGAACACTACTTATGTGTATTCGTAAGAGAGTAATAAAAGCCTTTTGATTACATGTTTATAACTTATTAAATACTTCACCATTAAATAATTTCTTTTTGATGTTCCTAAAGTTTAAATCATAGTTGTCATTGGCATCACCTAGGTGATTAGGGCTGTTCATTGGTTGGTTCGGTTTGGTTGCATTTAATTTGTCAACCAAACTGAAAAGTTGGGTTGACTTTGAGGCCAACCGAAACCAACCAACAAGGAGGGAAAACCGACCTCAGTTTTTCATTTTGCGTGACATTGGTTTAATCAGTTTTAATTAATGCAAACCAAAATGAATGCTTGCAGCTTAAAAAGGTCAATCCTAAATAAGTGGGCCCAACCTCTAATTATGCTCCCTACACTTATGACCAATTGCAATCAGCTAGTTGCAGTGTCAATCACTATTCTTGATGAATAACTATGCTGTCTCTTCAGTCTTCTCTCCTAGTCTCATAGATAGGGGTGGCAATTTCTCTCCCAACCTGTGGCACCCATGGAGGAGATTTGTTGAGTAAGTTTAATGAGGCTAGACAGCCTTCAGAGTTTGGGGATTGTGTTGGTGTGACTTTCCCGAAACGGATCTAGGACCTCGACCCGGGTCAAAATAACCCAAATACCCGACCCACTCAGGACTTTAGAAGAAATAAACTTACCAAATCGGCCAGTGAACCTAGGTGGTCCAATGGCAAGCAGATACAGTGCAGCCCTGTTCGGTTGGAGCCGGGGTGGCTCAGCCAACCTCCTATGCAAACTGAGCGGAGGGAGCTCGAGACTTCAGTGCATCTGTGTTCTCAGTCTCTTGATGTTGAGAACCGAGGTGTCAGCCAGGCCAGGGTGACATCCCTATCTCGTCATTCTGGGCTAGTGAGTTTGAAGAAGGTTGATCATCGGCAGCAGCAACAAATCTCCCTTTCCTTGGTGCCTGTGAATGCTAAGCTGTTGGAGGTGATGCCACTAGCAGTGTTGGAGTTAGAGGATCAAAATGAAAATCTAACTAACAATCTTGAACAACCCAAAATGCTGGAGGAAAGAGAGAAAAGCCCTGTTGTGATGAAACGAAGTGAAGACAATCATTAGAAAGAAATTAAGGACAAAACAAACCTCGTGACAAATCAGGAAGGTAAGTCGAGTAACAACTCTACTCATTCTTCCTCTTGGGTTACATCTAAGCTATTAGGTTTGGGGAATTTTCTAGGGGTTTCGATGGAGGGTATGGAAGCAGAAACAGTAAAGTTTTTGGAAGAGATTGTACAAAGAATTCTTATGGAGAGGGGAAAAATGGCGGCGAAAAACGGTGGGACAAATTCCTAGAGGAATAGGGAAATGATGCATCTTACTTGGGGCCTGAATGATAAGGCGGGGAGCAGCGAAGGGGTTGTAAGGGGGTCGAAGAAAATTTGAGGTGGGGGGTGTTTGCTTTTTCGAATTCTTCTTTCTATGGATTTAAGAATTTTATCTTGTAATGTACGAGGCCTGGGGTCAGGGAGAAGAAGAATGGTGGTTTGCGATTCTGTAAAGATGTCGGAGTCGAAAATTGTACTGCTTCAAGAAACAAAAGTGGAGAAAATAGATGCTGGTATTATTCAAAGTGTTTGGGGAGAAGGACAGGTTAGATGGAAGGCAAAGGTAGCTACTGGGAGTGCAGGGGGCCTTTTATGTCTTTGGGATCCCTCTTTATGTAGCTTGATTTCTTGTAGCATTGGGAATTTCTCAATTTCTTTAGTCATGAAGCTTCAAGATGGTAATATTATTCAAATCACAAATGTGTATGGTCCAACAGTCTCAAATCTCAGGGCGGGCTTCTATGAGGAGTTATCAGATATGAGAGGCTCTTTGGCCTATACTTGGGTATACTTGGGTCATTGGTGGTGATTTTAATGTAACTTTATTGGTGGAAGAGAAGAATACAAGGAATGGAAGAATTGGGTCGTTGAGGCGGCTTGCAGATTTTATCAATAATATGGAACTTATGGACATCCCTGTTCATGGTAACAGATTCACCTGGACAAATAATCATGAAAACCCCACCCTTGTGAGGTTGGACAGGTTCATGGTATCTTCAAACTGGGATGATGTCTTTCCGGACTTTAGGCAAATCACCCTTCCCAGACCTGTTTCAGATCACAGTCCTATCCAACTAATTTGTGGGCATTGGGAGAAAATCAAAGCTCCTTTTAAATTTGAAAATGCTTGGTATGAGGAAGACAATCTTATTCCGTTGATGAATGCTGTGTGGGAAGATATTCAGGTGGAGGGATCAAGCTCTTTTATCTTGGCAAAAAAAACTAGCTGCTATCAAAAGAAAATTAAAAATTTGGAGTTTGGAGAAAAAATTAAATTTGGGGATTGAAAAGAAAGCTTTATTGGGTATCATTGAAGAAATTGATAGAGCTGAAGAGATGGGTCCAATTTCTGAAGAGTTGAGGCTGAAAAGATCTCAAGCAAAAAACAGCTTTGACAAATTGGTTGTGAAAGAGGAAATAAAATGGAGACAAAGAGCTAAGACCACTTGGTTAAAGGAGGGTGATAAAAACACACATTTCTTTCACAAAATGGCAAATGCCCGAGCTAGAGTTTCAACTATTAATAAGTTGGTGTGGGAAGATAGGAGCGGGGACTTAGATTCAGAGATTAAATCAGTTGCAACTTCCTTTTATAAAAAGCTCTACAAGGAAAACTGGATGATAGATCCTTTCCTTCTAATCTTCCTTTCAGGAGCTGAATGAAAATCAGAAAATATGGCTTGAAAGACCTTTTACAGAAGAGGAAATTAGTGCAGCAATTAAGAAATTAGAAGGAGATAAATCGCCTGGGCCGGATGGTCTCACAAACCTTTTCTATCTGAAATGCTGGAATTTTGTGAAAGAAGATTTGATGAAAGTGTTCCAAGCGTTTCATGCTAATGCCTCTCTGCAAAGAAGCTTGAATGCTACACTTATAACCCTCATTCCAAAAATTGAGGGGGCTGTGAACATTAAGGATTTTAGGCCAATGAGCCTCCTGCACAGTTTTTACAAAATTTTGGCTAAAGTCTTGGCAGAAAGAATGTAAGGGGTGTTAGGCAGTATAATCTCCAATAACCATAGTGCTTTTGTGCTAGGGAGGCAGATGGTAGACTCAATTTTAATTGCCAATGAGTTAATTGATTCTAGAAGAAGAGAGGGAACCCCAGGTGTAATTTTTAAACTTGATATTGAGAAAGCATATGATTTCCTGAATGGGATCAGATTTAAGGTTGGTAAGGGGGACAAAATCAAATTTTGGAAGGATCCCTAGTGTTTAGAGGGTTCCTTGGCTGATGCTTTTCCCCTACTGTTTCAAATTTTTGTGAATCAAAACTCTTCAATTGCTGATAATGTAAGCATCTTAGGTGATTCCACCATTTGGACTCCTCTGTGTAGAAGCTTGTTTGATTGGGAAGTGGAAGAGTATGAGGTGCTGTTGGGGCTCCTTCAAAACTAGAGGATTGATATGAGTTTAGAGGATGAATGGTCTTGGAATGGAATGCAGATGGTAGCTTCTCAGTTAAATCCCCTGTTTCTTAAGTTGTGCAGATCAGGGCAGGAGAACTTAGTCAGGCAGATTTGGAATCCAACTAGTCCCTCCAAGATCAATTTTTCTAGTCTGGACAATGGCTCTTGATAAATGTCTGACTAAGATTAACCTGGAGAGACGTGGTATTTAGATTCTGGATCTCTCTTGTGTTTTGTGTGGAAATCTTGCAGAATCTACAGAGCACTTGTGTATCCATTGTCTGGTTTCTTCTTTAGTCTGGGACATTTTCTCAAGGTTTTGGAGATTAGCTGGTCTATGCCAAAATCTGTGAAGGAGCTGCTGATGTGTTGGAGAATTGAGGGTCTCAGTAAGAAAGGAAAGATTGTTTGGAATACCATTCTGCAAGCTGTGCTTTGGTTCATTTGGACTGAAAGAAATAACAGAATCTTCTGTGGTCAATTCAAAAGTCCGGATGAAGTTGTGCAGAGAGTTGTGGGCATGATATGTTCCTGCTTGTCGGTGAATGAGGAATTTAAAAACCAGAATGTATCTCTTTTGTTTTGTTCTAAAGCAGGGATGAATTTGTAATCTATTTTGGGCCCAGGCAGAATTAGTGGTTTGGGCCTTGTTGTATCTTTCTTTATATTCTGAATAAATTACTTTACCTTTTTCCAAAACAAAAAATATATCACCCAACCCATTAAGCCCACCCAACCTGCCCATTTACTTAGTGGGTTGGAAATGGGTTGAATCACCCATTGGATCAATTTAAATGGGTTGGATCGGGTCAGGTTGTGGATATCCATTGGGTTAACCACTAATGATACAAGTGTGAATTCCTTGGCCATTTTTCTTTAATTTTCTTCATTTGAGTGAAACAATTTATAATTAATGTATTAACTTTCTGTTAATTATTGACTAAAATTAGTTTTGGTTTGAGTCAACACAGTTCACCCAAACTGACATGAATCCAAATTAAGTCAAATGGCCCGATTTGGTTTGATTTGATTTTGGAGCGAATGGCCTAACTGTACCCAACCTGAATCAACCCAAACGACTTAGCAATCTAGACTGACCCGATCTGGGTCGACCAGATCCAACTCTTATTCAGATCATTCGGGGCACCCCGACCTGACCCAATTTGGACTTGTTTAGGCCAGACCAACTTTGATTTGAGTCTAGATGGCATGCTTGACCCATCTCGATTTGGTTGGGTTGGGCAGCTTGGCTCAAATTGACCCGGATTGAGTCAACTGGGGCAATCCAAATTCATACTGCTCAGACTCAACCCGACCCGATTTGGATACGAATGCCTCAGTTCAATCCAGTTTGGGTTGACCGGTCCATCTGAATCCAAGCAGTTTAGACCCAACCCATTTTTTGCTGGTTTGCCCGAACCAACCTGACCTAGGTCTAGATGACATGGTTGGCCCTTCTTGATCTGGTTCGGCTTGGTCGGCTCAGTCTTAAATATGAACTCGTGCCTGACTTGATTTGGCTGGCCCGAGTCAAACCAACACATGACTGGACCGGTCTAGTTTGGACCAACTGGTGTGGTCCAAATCCAAACAGTTCGACCACTCTTGATGTGATTAAACCAAATATAAATCCAATTAGATGGTTCAAGTTGGTCCAACCGATTTAAATCTATGTGGTTCGGTCAAACCTGAAACCTGGACATAATGGCTCCAAGTGATTAATTATTTTTTATTCTCCTTGTAAAAATAATATGCATGTAAAGGAGTTGGTTTTGGGTAAAAAGGAGTTGGCTTTAGTTGTTGTGTAAACAACAACCACTATTACCACCAAGTCATGAGTCATGACCAACTTATTGTTGAAAAGGAGTTGGTTTTAGTTAAAAAGGAGTGAAGGGAGAGATGGGTGAGATGACAGAATATGGAGAGTAGCAGTTGTCAAACAATAAAAAAGAGACAAAATGCATCAATGCATCATATGTACTTACAAAAGGCAATAAGGCTTATATGTGTGTTGGTTCAGGTTGGTTTCAAGTCGGCTAACAAAAGGCATAAATGCAACCGAATTGAGTCATTGGGTTCTTTCATTTTCTAAACCAAGGCTGACCAAACCACTTTAGAAACTGAACATCTTGGGTTGGATTGGTCCGGATTGGCCGGTTTATAACATCTTGTGAACAGTCCTATAAGCAACTAGGTGCTTTCCTAGCCTGAATGCCTTGACTTATATAAAAAGGCACCCATCTAGGTGATAAGGTGCTTCCCTAGGTGACAAAAATCACAAGGCAAGTGTCTTAATGGCTGCATCTTAGCAGTATCTTGTTGATACTTAACTCTACTTGTGTGAGCTTGTCTTACACTGCCCGCCGGTCCCAAGCCCGGATAAAAGAGTAGGGTTCTGTCAAGTTGGAAGCTGGCATAAAACTTTTGCCTAAGTCTTACATTCAAAGATCCTGAATTGTCTTTTCATGTGGATATGGCACTAAACAGAACGGAATGGGGAAGCAGGATTCATGTAGCACACTAAATAATTGGGATAAGGCTTATATGATGATGATTATATTTATCACTTATGCTTCATTTTAAGGTTTTACTATTGAAATTGAAATGATCCAAGGGTTTTGAAAAGAGAAATAGAAAGAAAGATGGGATGGTTAAAAGTGGTTTCTTCTTTTTTTCTTCAGGTACTCTCTCTCTCTCTCTCTCTTTCATATGCACACACACATTAAATAAAACAGTGGCTCTACCCCTATTTTCTTTTTCTCTTTTTCCTTACTCTATCTTAACTTTTTATTGTATAAAATTATAGCCTTCTTTAGTTTCCAATTGATATGAAAATGCTCTATAAAATTCTTATTATGTTGTAGTGTTATTTTTGAAAATATTGAAATTAATAAATTCTAAATAATATTTTTTTGATAGGAAACGGTAACTTTCATTAGAGAATTGAAAAGATTACAAACTTACCACCCACAAAATGGATGGAAAAAATCAAAACTTACAAACAAGCCCAAAACAAAGCCTCCCTAGTAACTCCTTGCTTATCTAAAGTGTCAGCCATTCCATTTGCTGACCTTCTTACCCATTTAAAATGCACCCTATTTTTAAGCTAATAATCTCTCTTAGAGGCTGTCTAAGAGATCAAACTCCCAAGTTTCCAGATTGCATCCACTCTATTACCAGCTTGGACTTCTAATTGCTGCATTTCCCATTGTTTTGCCAGTCTCAAACCTTGAAGTAAGGCCATTACTTCTGCCCTTAATGAATCTCCCACTCCAATTGGGCCCGAGTGGAGGGCCAAGACTTTTCCTTCCTCATTTCTGAACACACCCCCAACTCCTGACTGACCTGGATTACCCAAGGAACTTCCATCAAAGTTTAGCTTCACCCTGAACTGAGGCGGTGGTACCCAACATTCTTGTACCACAGGGGAGGAAGGAGAGGATGCAGTTATAACACTCCAATTTCTAATTAAGTCAGTTGAGGAGAAGTCCTTGAAGAGATGATGTACTTTCAGCCAATACATAACCTTGATGGTGACAACCTCAACAAGTGCTTCCTTGGATTTTTCTTGCCCTAGGAATTGTTTCTCTCTTCCCAAATTGACCAAAGGATGGCTGCTCTTGTTATTCAGCACATTACCCTGCCTCTTTTCCTTGGTTGTTGGAAGAAACTAGAGTAAAAAAGGTTCAACACACCCGGGGGGGGATTCCATCTGCAACCAAACAATGAAGAGAACCAATCCCAAAAATAAGAAGCAAAAGGACAAGAAATCAAAAGATGAGTTTCCGTCTCACCATTTCTTAAGCAAAGGTAATAGACATGTGGGGAAAGGCACCAGTCTGGCCTTTTTCTTTGAAGTACATCCATAGTATTGATGTTTTGAAGAGCCACTTCCCAGCAAAAAGCCCTAACCTTTGGTGGCACAGGAGAATGCCAAACTTCTTTAGCAGGAAAGGAGACATACACAATAGAAGATTGAGCTAAGGCGTTGAAAAAAGATGAACAAGAGAAAGTCCCTAAAGAAGACTCTTTCCGAATTCTACTGTCCGGGCAGGAAAGATCTAGGAAAACTGAACTCAACGCAGTGAACAACTCATCTGCAGAAGTCAATTCTGAATCCCTCAACCCTCTTCTCAAACCCAAATCCGAAGTCCCCTTAGGCACACGAAGTGAGGAGATGGTGTTGAATTTATTTAGGGAAAGAGAATACATTACTGGGAATCTATCCTTAAGGGGGGTGTTCCCAAGCCAAAGGTCCTCCCAAAACAGAATTTTATTACCTAAGCACACATCAAATCTGATGAAAGACTGAAAGGAAGGCAAGACACCAACAATTGCTTTCCAAGGGGATAAATGAGAAGCCCTAGGGTCAATGCCAGCATCCCATCCATTAGCTACCATCCCATGAATACTTTCCACCACCAAGTGCCACAAACTGTCCTGCTCCAAAGGAAATCTCCACAACCACTTTCCTAACAAAGCTACATTTCTTAATCTGATATTGCCAATGCCTAGACCCCCTGCTTCCTTTTTTCCTAAAAATTACTTCCCACTTCACTAAATGGTTCTTTTTTGAATCACCCGGTTCCCACAGAAAGTCTCTCATGAGCCTTTCTAACTTATTGGCAACCTTGCATTTTAGATATGATGAGTTGCCATGTTTTAGGAGGAAACTAAATGTTCTTAATAAAGAGAGTTGTTATTTTCCAATTTATATTCATGCTGATTGGCCTACAAAACTAGGGAACTAACCTATATAAAGTTTTATTGCCTAGGTGACATATTGGTGCCCGCCTAGGTGATAGGCAACTAGGTGCTCCACTGTCAAATAGAACCTATATGCCTTGACAACTATGGTTTAAACCTTCCTTAGGGAAACCTTCCTTATGGTTTTGCCTTTATCAGAATATATTTGGTCTAAGGGTTTGAATGCTTTTGACTTACCAATCAAAATGACTGAAATTTTTGAGTTCAGAAGCCATGCCATATTTCTTGATTTATTCTTAATTAAATAAGCAGTATTCAGTTTCTTGGTGTCCTCATCATTGATATCCGATATATATGTATGACAGTGGTGCACAAACATGCTTATCAGCGTCCAAGTAAGATTTTCAGCAAGTCCCAGCTTAATATCTCTTGAGACTAAGAGCGGATTCTTAGTATCTTGGATGTGGAATGTCACATTTTGGGTGGGAGTACTTCAGTGAACAAATCTACTGGATTGGCTCTCAACAAGTCTGCTAGGTGATGGAGAACTTCATCCATCTATTTGCATGTATATAAGCTGTTAGTGTGGTGGTATATTTATCAAATTCCATTTTTCTTTTATTAATTAGTTTCAGGAATATGGAAGTTAAGATTCTGGATAATTTGGTGTTGGTTTTTAAGACCTTTTGCTTCTCTTACCAAGTTAGTTCTTGTCAAATCAAGTTATTTGTAGTTTATGGTGAAAATATCTATGCTATATAATGCAGATATTTGTCTTGGTTTCTGTGTAGACCCTAAAAGCTAAACCACAGTTGTATTATATATTTAAGGTTTTTGTTTTTACCCTTTTATTAGTATTGTTTTTGAAAAGGTAAAGTACTGCTTTTACCCTTTTATCTTGCTCACGTGCATAGAATGTGCTCTTACACTAGTTTATTTTAAAGTTGATTCTTCTGCTTCAACGTTTTGATTTTTTTTTTCTTTACTCTTACTTCCTTTCTCTTTTTTCTCTTCTCTGTTAAGAAATGATTTCTTCTTCTAAAGGCAACTATGCAATTGGCCATATGCCTTTTGCAGATTGAAGTTGTAAAACTCTGCCAGAAAATAATTGGTCAGATGCTTTTTTTTTTTTTTTTTACTTTAATCAAATGTATTACGTGAAAGCTTATATAAGGACATGAGTCCTGGCATCTGAACTACAAAAGTTATTTCATTGCGATTAGTATGCTATGTATTCTGATCTCAGGAACTGTTTTGAGTGGTTTGGATGCTGGAGACCTGCCTAGCATTTTCCATTTCTTAGACCAAGTTAGTAGTTGGCCCATAAAACTATTGACTGACACATAATGATTGGTTCTTCTGATTTCAACCATTTTGGTGTACTTTGATCCAAAATTTGAACTGACCTGGAAAAGTTGATTCTTGGCTACCAGCTGACCTGCCTAGTAGATCTGGCTTCGATAACTATGAAGAGAATGAACTTTTCTTGTAGTGACTGGTCCAAGTTTGAGCTTTTTGTATTAGATAGTGGTGGTATAGGGCCTTCGAAGTCTGAGGATCTTGGTGCCATTGTTAAAGCTCTAAAATATTGGTTGCATTATAAATTGTTAGCCATTGTTAATTGTTTTATTATCTATCATTTTGTATATAAAAATGAAAATTTTTTAGTCTCTTTTCTCACTACACATTTTTTTTCCACTGTTGCCGTTTGATAAGTTCCCATTTTCCAGTCTGACCACTTCATGAAACCATTTCTATCTGAAGTTATTTTTTTGATAGATAAGGTAATGTTTATTGTAATATGTCAAAAATTCAAGGCCACAGGCTCTTATGCAGTGGCTTTAAATAACTAAAGTTAGAACTAGTGTTTAGAAAACTGGACCAGACCGGCCGGTCGGACTGGTTGAACCATGACTAGGGTCTTGGAAGGTTCGGTCACACCCCAAGAACTGTAATGTCTAAAAACCCAGTGAACCAGTCCCGGTTTCATGAGATTGCCTGGATGACCAAGTAATTGAAATTCTAAAATGAATGTGACAAGACTTGAACCCATAAGCTCTTATTTTTCATATGTTACTTAATTACCACTAATCCACCTCTTTACTTATGCTATTTAATCTTTTTATTGTATATAGTACTTTATTACATACATATTTTAAAGAAAATGTAAATTAAGAGACTTGAACCTTGGTCATTTGCTCTAAAAATTAAAGAATTTGCCATCCATCCACCATATTTAAGTATATTAAAAGTTATAAAGTATATTATGTATAGTATTTATATAACCCGTAATATATATACATATATGCCACATCATCATGGTTCGTCCCCGGGTTAACCTCTAACCCATGAACCTCTCCCTTCTCCGGTTCTATGACTGGTCCGGTTCTCTGAACATTGGTTAGATTCGTTAGAACCATGTAAACCATATGCATGTGTTGTTGTCTGCTCCTCTTTACATTAAAGTCAAAAATCATTTATTCCCACTGCATTTGAAAATTATCAATTTTCAGACACAAAATCTTGAATTTTTTTTATGGTAAAAATAAAGATACTTGATTGAAAGAAAAATGTATACAAGTAGTATATGAGCTTTGTGGTCCAGGCACCAACAGCCAACCAAAACAACCTAAAAAACTCAACACTACTAATGACGGCCAAAATGCCAACCTCCAAACATCCACTTTCTAGACCAAACTTTAACACCAGCCCCTCAAAATCAAACTAAATAAAGAAAATCAAAAGACCTGCTAAAGCAGAAACAAAGTACAGAACACACAACCCATCTCTACAACGGAACTGTCAATTTCCTCTGTGTTATTTCTCAAAGATTTTTTTTTTCCTTTTTGTCTCAGGATGGTGATTACCCCATGAATGGATCTGCTTCTTTATTTATTCTCCAAAGGAGTTGATCCAATTCCTGGTATGGAATCACTTCCGTTTATGATTATAGTGGTGATGTTTTCCTCACACTAATGTTAAATCCATAAAATTCTATAGCCAGTTTAACCCTCCTTTCTTCCAATTGTCACCATTCTTTTCATCTGTCTCTGTTTTCTCAAATCAGTAAGTGATAGAAGATATGGTTAGGTATTTATCTATGAGTACGTGTGTGTGTGCTCATGTGACTGTGCATGTGTGAGCACTTGCATGTTTTGTATATCCTTCTGTTTCTTCTACCCTGAATCAACGACTCCTTTTAACACAAACATGATGGATTCATTTCACACAACTAGCTTGAGGATGCTTAACAAGTATGATAATTTTTGTTTGGTTAGGTAAATACCATGCATCTGATTAATTCATTGAGCATATCTGGACACTGTATTATGTTATATCAAAATAATGCTTCTTCTATTTGAATGTGCCAACTATGGACTATCAAATTAATTTCTTTTTTATTGTAATCATCAATGAATAAATTGATACTTTGTTTCTTAATCTATGTTTGCATTTCTATTACCAGGTAAATTCATATGTAACAGCTGTGAAGCTCCAAGGCATGCCATGTGATTTTCTTGAGAAATTAATAGTTATTCCCTTTACATGAAAGGAATTGTTGCTGGTCTTCCTCATGCATGGACCAAAGAAGTGGAGGTGGCAGCTACTTTATGTTGGGTAAGTTCACTGAAAAGCTAAGATTAGTAATGCAATGTCTCAAGTTCTTCTTTCACCTCTTTTTAATTCCAGAGTATTGATGGCTCTTGGAAGGAAGAATGGTTTTTGGGCTGTGGAACCAAGCCATGGTTCTTGTGGCCCATGAGCTTGCGGTGTATTAAGTACAGAAGTTGTGCAATCTGTGAGCATTAAAAATTAGGTGCTATGTCAGGCTGTTTCTTTCAGGGAACAATTGAAACTGCAGGGATGGTGGGATTGAATCAGAACTCCATTGAAGTGTTGCCCATTTTAATTGTGACTTTCCTCTGCAATTGTGAAACCTTGGACCATGGTTTTTAAAAACGAACCAGTCAGGGTCCGGTTACCAGTTCGAACGGTCCGACCGTTCGACCCGAACGGCCGGCCCGTTCTGTCAAAAAAATAAAAAATAATTTAAAAAATTGAAAAACGGTCAAAACTGTTCGAACGGTTAACCGGCCGGTTCAGCGGTTTGCTGACCAAAATCAACGGTTTTGGGGGAAAAAGCGGTTTTGGAGGAAAACGGAACCGGTGACCGGTTCCCGGTTTTTCCGGTCCGACTGTCTGGTCCGGTCCAGTTTTGAAACCAGTGCCTTGGACATCAAATGTTTCTAGATCCTCTGGATCTTCGTAAGAATATTCTGGATTAAGGTATTACCAGGCACGTCTGCACCCTGAATTCTCTAATTCATTTTTGTGCCTTTTCATTTGGTAGAAAACCACTACTTCAACTGTTTTGAATATGTTAATACAACAAAAAACAAGTTATTTTCTTCACAAGTAACAAGTAAAATCAAGTGCCTGCTTTTAATTTTTTCCTGTTCTTTAGCTCTTTTTCTTTTGTTGTAGTCCAATACCTGAGAAGATCAATGCGGTGTGAATGTTGTTATGCATTATCCTCATAAGGTTTTTCACAAAATAAAAAAAAACTTCATCATAGGGTAGGAGTCCTCTATTATTTGAGGTACATAAACAGAATACTTGCCTGGACTTTTAATCTACTTTCGAAGGGCTATCTAGTGCATATCTTAGGCTCAGCAAACATGGAAAAGAATGATTAGAATGGGGGACTTTTATCTCCAGCTTCGATTGTCTTCCTTGCCTTTTGCCTTTCTTTAATCAGTCCCAAGGATAGGGATTTTGATATCTCCAGATCACCATAAACAGACCGACAGTGACCTGCTTACCAACGTATATATGATCCTTTCATTGAACCATGCCATAGACAGCTTCATTGAACAATTATTTGCTGATCATTAAGTTGGTTATTGCAGGTCTTTGGTAATGAAAAGCTGCAAGAATTGTGTTATTGGATAACTAACAAGATTTTAAAGATAATGTCTGTGGCCTATTCGGTAGTTTCCTTTGAAGTTGTTGCAAAGATAGTTAAAGCTCAGTTTATAATTAGTTAGAAGCCTTGAATTTCCCCTGTGGTTTCTAACAAATACTGAAACCTCTCAGTTTTCTCCTAATCTTTATGCATCCCCTATCAATTGATTTTGCCATAAATGAGACTAGGGGTGGATTCGAGCCGAGACGAGCTGAATATTTGAGTATTCAGCTCAGCTTAGAAGAAAACTACAAGGCTCGAATTTGGGCTCGAGCTTGATTCAAACTATAAATTCAAGCTCGAATTTGGCTCGACTGAAGAACTCATATGCTCGAGGTTTGGTTCAGCTCGAGCTCGACAATGAGCTGAGCCTATTCAAGCTCGAATTCAAGCAATTCTGTCCAGAAAATGACGCATCTACATTTCCTTTTGTCAAATTAAACCCTCTTATTGTTTATATTCTAGAAAAGGACATATGTCACGTATCTATATTTCCTTCTTGTGCTTATTTATTTACTTTTTTTAACCTTAACAGTGTGGTCAATGACCAATAGTGAATGCGTAATCAGTTATCAGGGCCTATAGCTACAGGCCCTACACTACGGGTCCATTACACACTTATCCTTTGAATGAGCAAAATTTTAGACCTAAAAGACTGGTTCTAGTGTGGGAAACATGTAATTGGGTGAAATCTTCACTACATGTGGGAATATATATACATATCAAGTTTCTTTACTACATTCTTGGTATAACCATTCTTGGAGTGAATAGCGTTCCAAGTCCTCATGAGAAGATGCTAAAAATGATCCACGTCTTAGAATTATGCTTGGTTGGAGAGAGTCCCAGTTGTTTATGTAAATCTGGTCAAAGCTTTGATTTCTCATAGGTGATGAACCGGTAGCAGTGGGCATGTACAAAGTTAATTGCTACATCTTTATCAGCTCGAACAGATAACAAGTTAATTCCTTGTCCTTCATGGAAATATCTCTAACATGATTGCTTCCATATTCAGTACACAGGCTTAATTCTAAGGATGTAGAAGGGCTGGGTATTACTACTTTTGTGGATTATATTTTTATCTATTGACTGGTTTTTGGGATGCAGCAGTTTTTAGATCTAAAGTTAAACAAACTGAAAGATAGACATGAGTTCTGTGTGGATTATATTTTTATCTAACATTTTATTATTTGTACTGAAGTCCTGGTGTCTCAGGCTCCTATGTTTACCATATCCATATTAACTATATGAAGTTATGGCCATGTAAACATCAGAACTAGTTTAAGGCCCCAGTAAGTTCCAATCTTGAAGCTGAAAAGGAAATTTTGTAGTCTGATTCTGTGCAAAAACTATAATGTGTTAAGCAGAGCCAAAGACACCTTCAAGTTGATACTTAGAAGATGATGTATAGAAAAATATATACTAGCAGGTGGCTAGCAACATTTTCTCTGGTCAACCAAGGAAGTGAGGAACCCTAATCAAGTCTTGTATTTTCTTTGGGCCAACTTCTGCCAAAAGAAATTAAGCATCAAATGTCTACATGGTAGAAAGATGAAAGCTGGAGCCCATTAAGCATATTAGTTCATCTTCCTGTACATAACATTTTAGTCTCTTACAACAATCTCCCTTTATCACCTTTTTGTTAGCTTCGTTAAGTATGACAGTCCCTACAACATAACATTTATGAAATCCCTGTGCCTTTCCAAAAAATGTGATCACTTTCCTAAAACAATCCATCCTATTCATCTCTCCTTTGTTGTGTAAATAAAAGAGGTGTTGATAATTATTAATTGAGATCCAAATTTGAACATTAACATCGATAATTATGCCCTGAACCTTGGAGATTGATGGAAAAAAGTGGAAAGTTACACATTACCCTAAACTTGATTGTGATATTCAACTAGGTGTTAAATTGGACTATCTTTGATATGCTTATCAGTGAGATCCATCAAGGGTTACAATCTGGGTATGTTGGGGTAGTCTAAGAATTCACCTAAGTGAGTGATCATAATGATAGGATTGGCCCCTTGGTTAGACAAAGTGAATGATAAAGTTTACACTATCTCTAATGGAAACTTAAACTATCGACAATGAATTTCAACCGTGTTTGAAATTTGATTATATATATATTAATGTTTTATGAAAAATATTGGCAAAATGTTTTAAATCCCGGGATCCATTCGAGTTGAGAGTGTGACATTGCACTTGGTAGTCAGGGGAGAGGTTCTTTTTTGTCAGGTAATGTTTGATTAATATGGGTTGAGAGGTTAAGTGTAAGAGACAATTACATGGATGATTATATGATGAGCTTTATCTTACTTAAACCCATTATCATTGGGTCTTTATGGGATGCAAGAATTTAATGATCATTTAGGAGTAAATGTTGGGCCCACATTGAATCCATAGTGATGTGCTAAGGAGTTCACTGTGTTTAGTAGTGAATTCGGCCAAGCCTTTTCACAGAAACTGGACTGAATCCATATGGATTTATGCGAGGTCATTGTGGGGTTCCACACCATTCAAATCAGGCCTATGTTGGCCATCCAATACCTTGGATTAATTAAGCTGACACATGACAACTATTCTTATAAGAAGATAATGTTTATCTCTAATTAGAGTCCATATCTGATTTAGATCTGGATTATCTCCTAATTTAATTAGGACATAGTTCTATAAGAGATTATAAAAGAGGAGGGGGGTGAACCAGCCAACCACAGTTTCATACTTTTGTAGTTTCTGGTTCTCTCTACTCTTCTTTGTCTCCTAGATTTAGTTAGTTCGACATCAACTATCTAGGACTAATATAGATAAGTTTTCATCTGATTTTTACAAGAAAAATTAGAAGTATATCAGACTCATCTTCCTCAGTTCGATCTAAGCAGTTAGATCTCAGTTTTATAGAAAATTGTTGTTGAATCGGCTTTAGGTATACATTGCATCATCTTCAGTGGATGCTGGTTTTAGGACTGATTTGTGTATGAACTTCCACCTTGGGATCTATATTTGTGGAATCTATATCAGGTATACATCTCTCTCTTTGTTTGGTTTTAAATCTGATTTGGTTCAGTGCAAGATCGATTCGAAAAAATGCAGTTTTCTAAAACATAGGGAATTCGATTCTCAAAAGGATTAGGTAGTGAAAATTCACCCAACCATCTAGCATGGTTCATCCATCCATAAGATGGATCCTAATTCTTATAACAGTGGTATCAGAGCACTAGTTTCAACCCTTGGATTGAACCAAATCGAATTTGAACCAAAACTCAAATCAACAAGAACTAATATAGTCGATTTGAGTAGTTAGTAGAAACTTCTGAGAATTTGGTTCTTAGAGTGGACCAATGGTTTGAAATTTTTTATATATATTCTAATATATTATAGAATTGTTCTATTATGAATTATTGAATTATTGGGTTGAAAGTGCGATAGAGATTAAACTCTTGATGGTGGTAATATTGGTGTACACCAAATTCATTAATTTGATTATTTAGTCTATAATTAATTATTTTTATTTTCTAGAAAAAATGTATTAGTTTTTCTGGTGTAAGCAATAGAAATTAAGGATTTTCTATTTTTTTATCGGAGAAATCGCTGGAGCTTGCAAAGAAGGCAGAAATTGCAAATGGAGATTGATTTGTAGATTGCGGTTTCGTAGGGATGCAGTTTTTGTCCGAATTGGATTCGGACCATCACACTATCAGTCATAGCCATTTATTTATGATTATCTGTTTATTTATTTGTTGATATGATTGTGAATGATAATTGAATTTCAGATCATTACATATATGGATTGATGTAGGGGTGAGCATTCGGTTTATTTGATTAAAAACCAAATTGAATAAATTGAAATTTTAAAAACCAAAATAAAAAGATGAAAATCGAATCGAAACCAAATTACAAGAAAACTGAAATAACCGAAATCAAAATTTTTGGTTTGGTTTTCAGTT